TCACCCTGATTTGTTCTGCTTGGATAATTAAGGCCAACTAGCCCATAGACTTTGGCCTGTTGAAGGCAGGAAGAGAATCTAAATATTGCACAACTGTCCTAACCTAGATATGTTATCCCCAATCAAGTTCTGTTGAGTAGGAGCTGGCCACAGGACCTGGAGAAGGGTTGTAAGATATTTAATTAAACCGTTGAAGTTTTTTTTATTTTTAAATTCAGAATGATGGGTAGCAGTCAAAAATGGAACTCAAGAATCCTGAAAATTATTGAAGGCATATTCCTGTATGTCTTTTGTGGGGGGTTTAAAAAGTACTTTTCAATTGGCAAAATTCAAATCATGGAAAATAATTGTTTTTTAAATTTTTTTAATTGTAGTCCTTTTGACTACAGCAATGATTATTTTCCAGCAATGGTAATTGCAGTTAAATGTAATTTTTGGGCATATTCACCTGAAATTTCATCTTTTTAAATAAAGAATTGGCTTTTGTGTTGTGGGTCCTGTTTTATAGAAGGATACTTTTCTAGGCAGGGTAATTGACATAGGGAACACTTAAGACTCTGGAGGACAAAGGAGAAAACATAGGAGCAGGAATAGGCTATTTTGACTCTTGGTCTCTTGCGCTTACTCTGCCACTTAACTTAAGGATATAAATAGTCATATCTTAAAGTTTCCATAGTACAAAGGAGGACGTGCTGGATGTCTTAAAACGCATAAGGGTGGATAACTCCCCAGAACCTGATCAACTGTACCCTAGAACTTTGTGAGAAGTTAGGGAAGTGATTGCCGTGCCCCCTGCAGAGATATTTGTATCAACAATAGCTGTGCATGAGGTGCTGGCAGACTGGAGGTTGGCTAATGTGCCACTATCTACGAAAGGTGGTAAGGAAAAGCCAGGGAATGATAGACTGGTGAGCCTGACATCAGTGGTGGGTAAGTTGTTGGAGGGGACTCCGAGGGATAGGATATATATCTATTTGGAAGGACAAGGACTGAATAGGAATAGTCGGTGGGTGACTGTGTGTGGGGAAATAGTGTCTCATTAACTTGATTTAAGGTTTTTAAAAAAAGAGATCTCCAGAAGATTTGAGGGCAGAGGGATGGACATGATCTATGTGACTTCAGTAAGGCTTTGACGAGGTTCATCGTGGTAGACTGATTAGCAAGGCTAGATCGCACTTAATACAGGGAGAACTAGCCATTTAAAACAAAATTAGCTTGCCAATAGGAGATAAAGGATGGTGACGGAGGTTTGCTTTTCAGACTGGAGGCCCGTGACTAGCACCGATCCTTGCAGCACACCACTGGGCCCACTGCTTTTCGTCACTTATTTAAATGATTTGGATGTGAACATAGGAATGGTTAGTAAGTTTGCAGATGACATCAAAATTGGAGGTGTACTAGATGGTGAAGGTTACCTTGGAGTACAGTAGGATCTTGTTCAGATGGACTGAGGAGTGGCATATGGAGTTTAATTTAGATAAAGGTGAGGTGCTGCATTTTGGAAACGCAAATCAGGGCAGGGCTTATACACTTAAGGTCCTGGGGAGTGTTGCTGAACAGAGACTTGAGTGCAGGTTCATAATTTCTTGAACATGGAATCACGGGTAGCCAGGGTAGTGAAGAAGGCATTTGGTATGTTTGCCTTTATTGGTCAGTGCTTTGAGAGTAGGAGTTGGTAGGTCATGTGGCTGGGCAGGACCTTGGTTAGGACACTTTTGGAACACTCTTCAATTCTGGTCACCTTGCTATGGGAAAGATGTGAAACTTAAAAGGGTTCAAAAAAATTTACAACGTTGTTGCTGGGATTGGAGAGTTTGAGCTATCTTCCCTGGAGTGTCGGAGGCTGAGGGGTAGCCTGTCGATGAATTATCAAGATATTTTCTCTGGGGTAAGGGAGTCCAAAGCTAGAGAACATAGATTTCAGGTGAGAGGGGAAAGATTTAAAAGGGACCAAAGGGGTAACCTTTTCATGCTGAAGGTGGTGCATGTATAGAATGAGCTGCCAGAGGAGATGGAGGCTGGTACGGTTGCAACATTTAAAAGGCATCTTGGATGGGTATATGAATAGGAAGAGCTTTTGAGGGATATAGGCTAAATGTTGGCCAATTGGACTAGATTAATTTATAATATGTTGGCATGGACAAGTTGGACTGAAGAGTCTGTTTCTGTGCTGTATGTCTATGACTCTATAACTGAATTGTGGTTGATCTTTTTCTGAAGAAGGGTCTAGGCCCGAAACGTCAGCCTTCCTGCTCCTCTGCTGCTTGGCCTGCTGTGTTCATCCAGCTCTACACCTTGTTATCTCTGATCTTTGACCCCTGGTGTCTTTTTATTGAAATCCATAGCTCCTTCTTGAAAATACCTAATACTGAGCTAGAGAATTCCCAAGTGAAGCAATTCCTCCTCCTTGTCAATCCTAAATGGCCTACCTGACATCCCTTATGCTGAGCTGTGTAGAAAATTTATATTTTTTTGCTGAGGGCAACTTGCACGCTGCATTACAGGCCTAGCCACTTCAATCTCTTTTCAGTAGGAGGATTTATGACAATCAATTTTTAATTCCTGTACTGTCACTGGGTCAAATCCTGGAACTCCAACAGCATTTTGTGGGTATGCCTATACCTTAAGGAAAGCTGTGGTTCAAGAATAAAGTGCATCACCATCATTTCCAGAGCAACTAGTGATACCCAATAAATGCTGGTCTAACCAGCAATGCCCACAATACACAAACTTATTATAAAACACTCGTGATGCTCTCCATGATGGCTGCAAAGTGTACTGTGCCCAACTTTGTGGGATTCACTGCAGACTTTTTTGATTTTCCTTTGAAACTTCCCTGTCACACTTTTTTCTGTAGCCTGTTGCCACCATGTTCATGTTTGTGATATTTGAGTCTATATTCCATAGTAATGGCGGTCCAATTAGTGAATATGTAAAAACATTTTGCAATTGGACAAAGAAAAACAGTTGAAGTTCCTGCTGGAGTGTTTGGACTTGCCACCAACTGGAGCACATAATGATAGATCAAATACTTATAGTGCCGAATAGTTACTTTGTTAGATTGGTAAAGTTGGATATGCTGTTCTTCAAGAAGGAAGAGTTGAAGAGATGCTGAAAATCTTATGGGGGTGGATAGTAAGAATTTCTTTGTATTGTTGCATTGAGAAGCAGAAGACACTACTTCGTGATTGGTGGAACAAGACAAATTGCAACATAAGGGGGGGAAAGCCTCTTTTTTTCTTAAATTTTTTAAAAAGCAAGTGAGGCAGATTAAATTGTGGTTTTCAAATAGAATTGAGTAAATATCTGAGGAGAACAAATCTGAGGGACAGTGGGGAAAGAGGGAGTGGTATAGCTCAGTTGCTTGTGGGGAGCTAGCATGGATACAACAGGTTTAATGGCCTTTTTATGTGTGCTGTTATGAAGCACAAACACTGAGAAAGCAATCTGGTAGCATCATTGGAATGGGAAACATTAAATGTTTTGTCTGGTATAACGCTTCAGATGATTTGATGAACTCTAGTAAACTGAGAACTAGACTTCAAGATCATCAATGTTGCACTTTTAGTGTCTATATTTTAGTGGCTATACCTGAAGGAGAGACAAGTTTGTATTCTGGAGAAAAGGCATTCTACCTGTCCAAGTTGCTTGTTACTTTATAGAATTTGTTCCACCTTCTGTAGCATCAGGCCAAAAGACCTATTCTGAAGAAGGGTCACTGGACCCAAAATGCTTTCTCTCCACAGATGCTGCCAGACCTGCTGAGTTTCTCCAGCGATCTCTATTCTTGTATCTTATTGGTCTCGGTTTTTTTCAATGTGCAAAACTTGCTCTAAATTTTGCACCCTTTTTTTGTCTTGAGGCAATAGCAATTTTTTTTAAAGTTGTTGATTTGGGGTGAAAATATTCCGAAGTGGATTATTCGTGCCTTGATTTGGAGGTGTCGTTTAGAAGGGAGTATCACATACCTGCTAACCTATCCACCCTGACTCCTTGCTCAAATTATGCAGATGAACTAATAGGGGGAAATCCTAGCATTTTATTTTTGACTCCAGTTGCCAAGTTTATTTTCAGAATATACTTTTGGTTATGTAGTCTGTTATTAGATCCCCTGCAAGAAAGCTCCATATTCTTTGCTGTCCTCTGCCTTCATAAGCCGGTTGAAAAGCCCATTTGTGTCCTAGCCTGTCACTCCAATTGTCACTGACCAATGCTAGCTCCTTTGATTCTTGACAAACTGAATTTAGGATTCTTGGCTTAATTTTTTGCAATTAACTCCTAGCTTATGTTATCTCTTCCATTCCCTTTGCCCCACCTCTTTCAGAAGTTGAGTCCAAGCACAGTAGTAGCCCAACTCCCTTTATATTCTGCTTCTGCCTTTTTAAAAATGTTTCCTCAATGTTCCTTTCTTGACCAAGGTTTCAATCACCTGAATTTTGATTGGGACGTGGAGACGTTTTTGGCTATAATATTTTCCTCCTTCTAGCTGTAAAGTACTTGCAGGGATGAAATACAAATGCATATGTTTATTTCCAAAGAAGAATTTTTAATTCTAGTAAACTTTTAATTCTGTTGCTAACCATTTTTGACTTGGTTTTAAACATGCTGTTTAAGTGGTGTGTGTGTGTAACAATTTTTACAATTATATCATTGAGAAAGGGAGTGTTTAGTAAAATCATAGCTTTAATTGGCTGGCAATGATTGGGCAGGAGGGCACTGGGGACTGCAAGCAATATGACAAGCCAGACTGGTTGAACATGTTCTTCCACGTCTATGAAACAATAACTGATGTTTGGCTTCCATGCTTTTTCACAGAAGCAAGCTAATGAAAGGAAATGAATGCTGTATTCTTACTAGAACAGACATGAACATTACTGCATTGCTACTGTTACAGAAGCTTTTTCTCTCTTTCAGTGCCTCCTACCATCGGGGTAACTGCAGACCTATTCGGTTTGAACCACCGATGTTGGATTTCCACGAACAGTAAGTTCAACTTTTTTTTTTAAACTTTTTTTGTTTGGTTTTCACTGTTCAGATATGCACTCGAGGGTGTCTACTGATTATATTGCTTTGCTTGAGAAGCTAATGTTGTACTATGAGCTAGCAGTGCCAAAAGTTGGGATTACGTAGAGTTTTTAGTTTCCTTATTAAAAGGTCTGTTGTGCAGGTTTGTTTGTTTCGATTGAGGACTTTCAGACAAAGGTGTGTCGGTTTATGTACTGCAGGGCTG